GATGAAGAATGTGTAATTATTGGTTGTGCACCAACAGAGAGGTATAATTCAAACAGATTAAAAAAAGAACCAAACATTTACTTTAGTGTCAAATGCTTTTCAGAAATCAAGAAATACCACACCAGGAATGTCCTCTTTATCTATACCTGTATTATTTATTTATTAATTTATTTATGCATATCTTTATATATTATATCTTTATCTATATCTTTATCTTTATCTACATTAAAGTGGTTGGTAATCTGTTCTGCTGCCAGCTTCTCCACGACTGTAGGAACTTTATGCAGGATGCTGATGGGCCTGTAGTTATATAAAGAGTGGTGATCACCACATCTCTGTTTGGGAGTAACAACAGCTGACTTCCAAATGTTAGGAAACCTTCCCCTAGAAATGGATAGATTTGTGCTTTTCATAATTGTGTTAAGTATTGATACACTGAGGTCTTTAAGCATCATTGTATCCATAACGAAGAGATCATTTGCTCTAGAGGATTTTAGTGATACAACAGAATCTATGATTCAGAAACAGTCTGTATGCTGACGCTGTTTAACAATATTTTTAAAGCAAAAAAAGAAAAAATGCAAATAGAGTAGTTTGGATTGTGAAATCTCACTTTATCTCTGGTGACTCATTTCTATTATGTCCATGTGACGTGTGACAAATCACTTTTTTTCCATTATCTTTTGATCTTCAGACCACTATATTGGTCCTGACACATTACTCAGAGTTGTTGCTCTGCCCAGAGCTGATGAAAACAAGAACTATCAGCACAGCCTTTAAAGAAATCCACTGACATACAGGGAGTATTTATTGAGTTGTTAATTTCTATTTACTTAAACTCACTTGCTTTCTCTTTATTGAAAACGATAAATGAACAAGATCAATACCACCAATTAAATAAAGTGAGACATATTTTGAGAAGGGAATATCGAGCAAAACACTGCTGGCTGTGTCATTGTTTCGTGACCCAAGTCGAGCTGAACCACATGGTAAAGTGGAAGGAGTACAGAGAACATACCACAAGACAAAGCAACACAGCCATGAACTCAGATTGAAGGCTTTGATTACTCTAATTTAGTCATTCTGAATGTGCTTATTTTCATGCCATTTCAATTACACATTGCATGACTGTAGTCTCCCATAACCATGAAATGGAGTGTATTGATTTGCAAAGAACTGAACAGAATGTGCTCTTATAGCATCAACAAGAGCAAAAAAAGGGACGTTTGGTTGTTTTTTGGGGTTTTTTTTCGTATCAAACTGAGTACCAGTCTTTCATATAGAAATTGTCACCGTTGTTAAATGTTTAAAGAACTGAATAATTTCACATGTTTTGGAAATTTGCTCATTTGCTTTCTTCAGATGAAAAAGTCGATACCACTCATGACTCACGACTGCACAGTAAATACGAGACTACAGCCAGCGGGTGGCTAGCTTTGGATAGCTTCAAGGCTGAAGCTATTGCTATACATTTTCCAACAAGTGCTCCAACCTCAACAACTATGTGGGTCATTTTTTTCAACCCTCTGATACGACCCATAGGAGTGTCTCCTGAAATAGCGCACTATGGCAGGAGGCGTAGGCTACCAAACCGCGGTTGTCGTGGTTACAATAATAAACATGTTGACTGTATCGAGAGCTGTGTACCTACCTTCATCCCCATGGTTACTGTTATAACGGCAATGGCTTGGTTAGGGCAGGAAAAGATCATGATCTGGGTTAAAATAAACACTTCCTCAATATTAGACGATCTTCGTTGTCATGGTTACAACGTGGTTAACTTTATTGAACGGTCACGGGTAATAGAAACAACACAAACTGCTATTTCCACATGGGAATCAAACACCACTCTGCTGTATCATAACAAGGACTTTGTCGCTCCTGATACTACATCATTGTACTTCTCGCTTTGCTCCTGTCATTATTACTACGGCCGCTAGGTGTCGCCTAGCAACAAAGCGTAACTATGGGTCATTATAACCTGCTGTACAAACGACCTATGGGCTCGTTTTTTTTTACCGCACAGTCTCCAATTTTCACATCTACCACTCAGCAGGAAGGTGAATACTCGTATTTCTCAAAATGTCAAACCCTTCCTTTAATGTATTTTTTATGTAAGTAGTTGCTCATTTAGTAGATTTCATTTTGAGATCTTTCTGCTCAGTCTGCCATATTCCATGCAGTCATGGAGTGGGTCCTCTCTATCTGTAGATAATCTGAACTCTAATCTTCCTTCATCAGTTGGCTCAGCTAACTGAATATCATTCCCTGTAAAAGACAGCACGCACGCGCGCACGCACACACACACACACACACACACACACACACACACACACACACACACACAGATGCAGTAAAGTGAGTGTGATGCTATATCACAGAGGACAAGGCCACATGTAGCTGTGGTAAACAAACCAATGTGATCTTATGAAATGAGCGTGAGAGAGTGGGTCATGGTGACCTGCATGTTGTTTAGTTAGAAGATTGCCTGTGGTGTGTAAACTTGCAGATTGAAAGCGGCCTCTCTGTGGCTCATGTCATGTTAATAGAATATAACACAGAGTGAATCCCAATTTGAAGTTAACCACCATGTTGAATGTGGCTCTCTTGCTTTTTCCCACAGGACAAGCAGCTTCATTATGAAGCACCGTGGTCTCCTTTTCATCTCGGTGAGATCACCCCTGTGGGGAGTATCAACATTGCGAGCCACATCTGACACTCTCTTGTCCCTGTTTAAACACTGAAATAGTGTTCCGTCATATTGTTGTGTGCCGCTGTGTTTTATTTTTTTATCTGGTCCGCTCCATAATGCAGCTGCTTGGAAACTGCCACAGGACTTGAAAGATCTCAGCGGAGAAAGGAGATGATCAATTTCAGAGGGAGCCCCCCCCCCCCCTTTCAGCTCTCTCTCTCCTGCTCATCTCCAACCCCCCCCTCCTCTGCCCCCCCAAACTCCCTGACCCCTCCACCTCCACCTCCTCCTCCTCCTCCTCCTCCTCACTTCAACTAGCCATAATTATTTTGCAAAAGAGCTCCAGAAAAAGAACATGCAGAGTAATTTCTCTTGCCCATTTATGAAAAGCTCATTAAAATAGGCCTGGAACAAACAAAGCTTTTCCTGTGAGGCCCCTTTTCAAATTCATTTCATAATTTCCCTCTGTTTTAATCATTTATATCAATTAATCATTCCTTGGTGGAAAAGATATTCTTTGCCATCTTCTGTGGTTTTTTTGTTCTAGCGAGTGAGAGGCTTGATGAGAATGTCAAGAGAATGTGGCTCAAACCAAGGTGGAGTAGCATTGGCTTTGCCAAAGGGAAATCAGCTTGATGCAGCACAATCTCTTTGGAGCTGCAGGAATAATTAAACAATTAAAGTCAAGAAAAAGATCATCTTTATACATCTGATGTCTTTCTAATGAAGCCAGGGGCAGCTTATAATAAAGCTGTTTTGTCATGTAAAACCACTCAACCCGGTGAATCTCAAGCAACTTTTCTCTGAGGCAACTTTTCTCCAATAGCAAGACTTTTTAAAAATTTTTTTTTTTACTTTAACTGAAGACATCACTTGTTTTTGCACGGGAGAGTTTAAAGCATCTGCACTGCAACAGCTTTTATTTTGGTATAAGCTAAATATAAAAGAGGGTGAATTCCCTTCTCTTTCAGCTGCATGTTAGAAAACATTTCAGCACCACAATATTTTTTATTAAAAGGTGTTTCAGTTGCCTCCAGTTTATCGTCTCCTTGATGTCTCACATGATGCTGAAAAACTAAAACCGTAAGACTGAATTAATTAAATGATCTCAGCCAAATCGAGGTCTTGCAAATTAGCCTTAATAGGTGTTGAAACCAACGACCTGAGGCTTAATGAGGTTGTAAACGACAGCAGGCATTGCTGCGATTATTTTCAGTGACAGACGATGGCGCCACTACGCAGCTATTAGGCCTTGATATTTCCCAGAGGTTGGAGTCATCCTCGGTAAACTAAGTAGTTATTGAATGTCAACTAATTAAACTCAGACGTGAGATGAATATAGCCGAGTGGATGTTGCCATGCAGCTTGTATTTAAAAAAAAAATTGTCCGGTCACATAGGAAACCATTCAGTGCAGAGATAGGGAGATATCCATCAGTTTTAACATGATAATATTCAGCTGCCACAGCCAATCACTCCTCTTTTATGAATAAAGACGATTAAAGAAGATAATAAATCAACGTTAATTATTGCAACCTATCAAACAGGACAAACATAAAGGCTAGACTTATTATAAGGACCTTATTATAAGGTACTTTGCGGTCTCTTTAAACTGTTAACTGTTGTGTTTTCGTTTTGTTATTTTGTTTTTTTGACAGTCGTCTCTTGTCCGTTTCTTTCGCACCTTTCAGGTCTACCTCGACCGATCCCCTCCGTTTCCATCCGTCTCTGCGTGTCCAAGTCAATCTCACCTCCCTCTGATTGGCTGGATTTATTATTCCTCTTAAATCGACCGCGCGCCGATTGGCTGCGGCGGCACCTTCGTCACGAGGCTAAAAGGGGTTTTTTACTGGAGGTTTCTTCCTGTCAGCGACACATGTAGAACAAGCAGCTAACGGGACCCGGAGACCAGATCAGAGGACAGTCAGTTATAGCCTCTCTGCCAGCCTCGTTATTTCTTTTTCCGTCCTTTCGCCAAAAGCACGCACTTCTTATTTTCGAGGACGTTGCGGCACACGTAGACCTGTAATTACGTCTCGCAATGGACTTCTTTTGTTCCAGCGAAAAGAAAGAGCTCTAAAGCGGCAGCAACAGTGAGACGGGAACCATCCAGTGGAAATACTATCTGATAACTCCATTTGCTCGGCGCTCCGCTTGTTGCCAGTGAACACACGAGCACGAGTCCTCGCTGAGGTTCGCAGTCGCGCGGAGCTGGAGGCCGACCGCCGCGCGATATAGTGTGTCCGCTTTTTTACCTGTACTTTTTTTTTTTTTTTTTTTTTTTTGGGGGGGGGGGGGGGGGGGGGGGACTGTTGTTCTCGCCTACCTGTTCACCTACTTTACCCTTCAAGTCCTTAACTTTACAGCCATTACACTTAAAAGAGACAAACGAGGTGGGTGTTTGTTGCTGTTATGTTTGCATGGCGATTCCTTAAAATGTATTTTGTTCTTTCTAATTATAGCTAGTTTTCACTGGAAACCAGCTTCGTCTGTTCTACTTATATGTGGCGGTGATATTTGATAGCCTGTGTAATTCTTAGCGACATTAACCTCATTCTCCTTAAACCCCTATTCACGCATTTACACCGTAATAACACTAGTGTGATGCTACATTTCTTTTCTTTTCCAAAAAAAAATTGAAAAAGGAAAAGCAGCAGCCATCGGACAGGACCTTTTAGCACATGGCTGGCTGATAGGTTTTTTCCCCTCTCTCCTATTTCCATGACTTGGTCTCTGCGCCCAAATTGCCTGCCCGTGTAATTACTTGAGTTAGCCCATTTAAGTTAAAAGCCACCCCCCCCACCCCCCCACCTCCTGTCCCCTCCATCCCTCAGCGGAAAAAAAGAAACTCCTCTCTGAATGAAACTTGACGATGGTCCGTCTTGTTTATCCAGGGAGTCACTTTCAGGTCGGCTTTTTGATTCATCTCCTTTTAGATTTAATCAGCACTAAGGTACGCTGTGGTTTGTCCCTAAGAGCCATCGCTAATGGGCTTACTGAATGCTTTTCTGTGTGCACCCCCCCCCCACCTCCCTCCCCAACTCTAATTAGCCTACCTGCCTTTCAACAAAGATTTGGCTTTATCCAGGCATGTAGTCTGCCTGACCAAATTGGAGAGGATTACATTTGAAGGAACCCACATTAATTTTGTAGGTGAAACAAATGCCTGCATTTCATTAGATTAGAACACTTAACATCATTAGAGCAGGTCTGTGGTTTAGCAGGGGCCATGTGTCCCATTAAAGGTGCTGTTAAATATTGGTTTATAGTCACCCAGACCAGATCATACCCATTGTTCAGGTCAAAGGCCTTAGCAAGCATCAAGTGTTGGTAAACACAGAGCCAACATGTCAAAGTGTTTTCAATGTCAGTTTGAAGCCAACCTTGTTTCAGCCTATTCCTTTGTGTTTTGCGATAACCACCTCCCAGCTATTCAAACTGCAATAGAGTGCAGTATTGTGTGGTCAAGTATTGTGTTATTTGGAATTTCTTAGGATCAGCTCAACAAAAGCCCGAGCTGCATAATTGTTCCTGTGGCCCCTGGTATTATCATTTAACAGACATTCATCATGAGAGGTCCAACGCATGGGGATGAGACAGAGATCAAGGGCAGATTAGTTCACTAAATGACTCGTAGCTCTCTTGTAGCAGAACAGGACTCGGAAACTGTTCCCTTAATGAGATCAGCTATTGTGCTTTGGTATGATTTGCAGTCTGCAGCTGCTCAAAGACCACGCTGATGCAACAAGACGTTCAAGTGGCAGGAATCTTAAATTAATTTCATAATTAATAAAGTAAATCGTGGAGTGTGGTTCACATGATTGTATTACCCTCTTACGTGAGGATCCAACATTATCTGTCTGAGGTCTTGACCCCACTGTGTACATAACAACACTCACTTGGGAAAAGTATGAACTGCACCCTTCTGGGTGTGACATGTACAACGGATGGGACTGTCAACATCATCTCCTCTGTTTGTGTTTGCAGGGACAATGGTGAATCCCGGAGGCAACAGCCAGCCACCACCAGTGGGCACAGGGTCTCTGTCCTGGAAGCGGTGTGCGGGGTGTGGGGGCAAAATCGCAGACCGCTTCCTCCTTTACACCATGGACAGTTACTGGCACAGCCGATGCCTCAAGTGCTCCTGCTGTCAGGCCCAGCTGGGCGAAATCGGCACGTCGTGCTACACAAAAAGTGGCATGATCCTCTGTAGAAACGACTATATCAGGTGAGACAAAGACCTCGAAATGCACGCACAGAGCTACATTTCAAGTGTTTGTCATTGATCGTTCTTGCTACAGATTTTCAGAAGTAATTCCTGTTATAATGTTACAGTATAAGTTGGATAACTCATTTCACATCTTGCATGAATATTTGAGGGTACTGCATTTTTCAGAAACCAGATAACTTTACTTTTAAAAGTCCTGGAATATATGAAGTAATGATATTAAATCAAGTAAAAAAAACTAAAAAAAAAACAGGGCTAAATTAACAATGATCTGCGCTGGTCATGCAATGATCGGCAAGGTTAAGTGTATTTCTGCGGAACATGTGTCTCAAATTGTACTACCATCATCAGTGCTCATTAAAGTATCCTGGTTGAGGTCTCTCCCTTCTACCCTGAACGAGGTCAAACAATCTGGCATGTTGACAGAGCACAAAGCAAAAGAGTTGTTCTGCAGGCCATCTACATGTCCGTCCTGTTTGCTGTTCATGGTCAACTGAAGGACAGAAAATTGGCCTTGTAGGATTTTATGTTTGTTTTGCCAGACACATGTACATTGTTCGAGTTGGGCACAGACTATCATTTTATTTTTCAGTTGTTTTTTTTTACATAACAGAAAAGCACCATTTAATTAGCAAAGAGAGCCTTTTTTAATATTCTAGTAGGTGTGCTAGACACCCAACCAAAGGTTGTTGATGACACCCTTATTCTGGTAATGTAGAGCAGTGACGGGACAAGGTACAGTTTACTTCAAGTTCAAATACTTTGTTGCTGGGGTGCAAGAATGGTATTGATTTTAAACCTATTAATTAACGGTTTCAGCTCACTTTAATATTTATGTTTGTCAGTTGAAGGTTTTTGTTTTTATAAGTTAAAATACATATAAATTCACGTATCTGAGATTGGGCACAGTTAATTTCTTTTGCATTAATCTACAAGATGGACCTGCACTGCAGTCAACATGCAACACTGCCATTAAATCTGCACGGATAATTCAAAATCTAAAGTGTGCCTGTGCGCTCTCACACCCACCTCATAAAAAGGATGAGGAAGTCAATGGGCTACTTCATTCATAATGGGACTATAACGTAATTAAAATTGGAAGGGGGGGAAATGTGGATACACCTTTCCACTTGTAATGAGAGCATGCTTGGTGGAAGAGCTAAAACGCATATTATGGAACCATGAGATCTCTGTAGAGATAAAGATAGGAGCGGGGGGAAAAAAACATCTGACAGTGAGTCTACACAATTAAATGCTTTAATTATAGTCCCCCTCCATTTCCTTTAGTCCTGATGGGTTTTATCTAATGAGATCTGGTCCCTGGCTTGTATCCGCTCCCAATGACGTGTCCGAAATGAATGAGAGCCACACTGCAAACAAAACATTTAATTAACCAAATTGGCTTTTGAGAGAGAGCAAGAGAGAAAGACAGATAGAGAAGAGGGATTATTGCGAAGGCCATTTGCCGCTGTTTTTTTCCCCTCATCTTAAAGGGGCAGACTCATTTTTGTAATAGATTGCTGAACTGCCCATATGACATACATTTTCAGCTGTAGCTCCAAACTTATGTTCATAGAGTTGATGTAAAAATGCTCATCTGATTTAGCATGAAGTCCAAACGCATCACATTAGGGCTGTAAAGGGATGTATGCCTGGCCTGGGATGATACCCATCTCCCATCAAGTAGGAATATTCACAAACATCACAGGACCAACACCATCTCTGTTTTTCATGCAGCGCTGCCACCAAAAGCTTTAATGTCAAACTTGAAGCCAAAGTTGCGTTTGCTGTGGGGATCATGTCGCTTTAAGCTGGAGGTGATATTATTTCTGTGGGCTGCTAGTAGAGGGAGAATTAATTTACTTGTGGCTGCTGGATTCAGGGAGAATGCTGTCCCCTTAATTGAATAAGCCTAGGTAATTAAATGGCACTTTTCCAATAGAACGTGTGAGGTAAATCTAATAGTTGGTTATTTAATATCACTTTGAAGTCTGCCCACTCAAGCACTATGACAGCAGAAGAGAATGTGAACTATTAGGCCAGGAAAAAACTGGGATCTCAGAAATTAATTAAATCGCATGCAATTTAGGGGAAACGTTTATCTTGATTTGTCATAACAGAATTAATTCAAGGCCTTCAATTCACTTGGGGCCAGATCTGTTACTCTGAATTAACCAAGTGTAATTTGGCTGATCCCCCACCACCACCACCACCACCACCACCACCCTCACCCTCCACCCTCCACCCCTGCACACACCCACACCTCCCCATCCCCCTCCTCCCAAAACACATGCACATACACAACACAGATCCACACGCACCCTCCCTCATCCTTGCAATCTCCCCACCCCTCCCCACCCTGTCCCCAGCCCCTCCACCCTTTTCTCTAATGCAGCTCTTGCCATTATGCAAAGCCCCGCTTCAGTATCAATATGGCCTAGTGCTTTTAAGGTGCTTTGGCTGCTGATGTAGAGAGGCATTTTTAATGGACTGTGTTGCAGGAATCATTGTTGTGGGGTAATTTTACCCTACTCAAAGGCCTTGGTGAATGAGGTCTGCATTTACCAGACATCTAGCAGCAAGCCACGCTATATTTCACCTGGCAGTCAGTGCTGAAATGAAATCCAATAGTCATTGCCTATATAGACGACAGACGGCTCTAAATGTGTTTTTTTGTTTGTTATTTAATTTAATCAAACGCGTTGGTTGTAGCAAAATCAGATCCAGGGGGGGAAGACAACAGATAAATCAAGATAAATCCATCCTGCAGGAAGATAGTGAGAACTGCTGTGCTTTTTTTTCGGAGGAAAAAAAGCAGAAACCAGATGTGTCATTGCAATTAAAGAGTCCCTTGGCTTTAATTATACTGACCTGGGGTGTGTACTTCACCTCTGCGCTGTAGTTCACTGGCAGAAGAGGCCATTAGAGCCCAAGTTCAAACTGATATAGCAGCTTAATTGAGCACCTAAAGGCTTTGGCTCCTTAAATCAAATACCATCAAGAGCTAACCCCTGGTTAAAAAAAAAATAAAAAATTGAATCAACCTACTTTAGGTTAACACTATGGTGAAATAAAAAAAAAAGGGGGGGCTGTGGTGAAACCGTCCTGTAGTCTTCGTTTGGACACCTCTCAAAAGCATTCACGCAGAGGAAACTCCTCGAGGAATGAATTCAACACGAACACGAGGAACATGTTTTCAATTTGAGGCAAAGTTTGAGTTTTAGAATGAGGCGACTTTGATATGCAGAAATGTCGTTGCGAGAGAAGTGTAGTTCTGCTTCTCTTAAAGCAAGGCCTATATGTTCATTTCCACTATCATGCTTGTCCCAGTGAAAGCAGAGAATTGGCAGTGTTGTGACGACAGTCTCCAGTTAATTAGTTTCTGAAATTGAGTTTTGATGGAGCCTTTCCAAATGATGCCAAGACAAAATTTGCTTCTGCCTAGGCTGTCTTATTGAAAGCCATTTCTGTGTCCCTTTGCAAAGAGCTTGGGCTTGTTTGTCCGTCAATATATCTAACAAATGCTTGGGTTATGGAGGGAATGGTGGAAGCATTAATTCCCCTGCTCTGTCTCAGCGTGAATTTGTTAAATACTTTTCATAAAATCGTCCTCAAGAATGTTTTAACAGAAAAAAAATGAAAATCTTAAAACACTTTCCTCTTGTTGTTTCTTTTTCTTGTTAATTCTTTTTCTTTTGCCAAAACAACTTTATCTGATGCACACACACCAGTGTTAACCACTCCCCCCTATCCCTTTCTTTCTCCATCCCTCTCTTCCTCTCTCCCCTTCTCTGCGGAGCATGTCAGATGCCGTGGTCTTATTTGATTGCTTAGGAAAAGTGCAGTGATAGAGCAAACACCCGGTGAGATATGATGACAAATGGGTCCAGATCCCAGTAAATTACTTTCTGCTCAAATCGAAATTTCATTCAGTTTGCTGCTCACCGAGATGAAGTAATCTAAATTGTGGACTCAGAAGGAAGATAGAAGGGAAGCTGGAGCAAGCATTTCATTATCAAGAGGCAGAGGGAGAGAGAGGGAGAGAGAGAGAGAGAAGGTTAGGGACGAAAGAGATGAGCAGAAGCAAATCTAAAGTGTTGACACCATGATTGAAAAGGTTAACCCATGCACATTATATATCAACCCGAGTAGCTACGGGTTTCTAATGGAAACACGGCACTGACAGAGCATTCACAGGAGTCCTAATGGCAAAAGCACTATGTCTCCGCCTGGATGTACAATCAAATCCTCTTAGGTCCTGATTGCTTATGTTCCAGGTTATTATTAGGTTGCAAAAAATGTGCACCATAAGTAATATGCAGTTTCAGTGCTAGATGCTTGTGGAGAGCAGAGTACCGGAGGATCCATTTTTTCTGTTGATACTGTGATGATTTTCTGTTTCTCTCCCCTCTCTCGTCTCCTGTGTGTTTTCCCTGCACGTTAGGAATGGAGCAGGGGGAATAGCGAACTTAGCACTAAATATAGTTTTCATTCAGTCACACACTCGGCAGACAAAAGTACGGATGCCACAGTCCATTACACAAGGCCAAATCTATGCAGATGCGCACAGAGGTTCCGTAGTAACGCTGGCTCTTTTTCCCTTCTTCTTCCCTTTTTCTCAGATTATTTGGAAACAGTGGAGCTTGCAGCGCTTGTGGCCAGTCCATTCCAGCCAGTGAACTGGTGATGAGGGCACAGGGCAACGTGTACCATCTCAAGGTAAACTCGAGTTTTCCTCAGTCAGGCTTTGAACTACACACAGTTTTTTAAGCTTGATTTTCTTAGTTTTGTGCATTTTTATCTGTTGATATGGGTGACAAGCTACTGTGCACAATGGCACTTACAGGGATAAATAAAGTTGTTTTGAATTGAATGGATGTCTTAACTTTGAGCTTTGTTTTCTTGGAAATGTAAGATTTACAAAATCTAAGTAGGGCTATTGATTGTTTTTCAAATAATCAAACAAATCATTAAAGAAAAAAGTATTTTTTTTTAATCTAAATCATTGTACATGGCAGCTAAAACAGGTATGGAAATAATTAAATTGTTTGCAGGCGTGAAACAATGAGTTGATTTATCATCAGTTGATCGATAGAAATGTAATTAGCAACTATTTTTATATACAGTTAATTATTACTGTCTTTTTTTCAAGCAGAAATGCTAAACATTACCAGAAATGTAGCTCGATTTGATGACATCACTTTGTACTGTAATAGATTGTGACAGGCATTTTTCATTATTTCTTGATAGTTTATAGATCAAAACATTATGCAGTTGATCACAAAAAGCCCTAAGTTGCGGTTAACTAGTTTAATGTGTATTTGACAGCTTTAACCTCCACAAGCACCTGCACTCACAGTTTGTGCAGAAATGCGTACGTGTCTGTGTGTATCCCTTCATCAGCATGTGTGTGTTTGCTCCAAGGTGTTATTACGTAATAGGCTTGAGCTCTGCCTCATGGTCGTCAGGCCTGGTTGTCATCGCTTCTCTCTCTGCCCCCCCCCCCCTTTCAGTGTTTCACATGTTCCACCTGCCGGAACCGGCTCGTCCCCGGGGACCGGTTCCACTACATCAACGGCAGCCTGTTCTGTGAACACGACAGACCCACAGCGCTCATCAACGGCCATTTGAGTTCACTGCAGACGAACCCACTACTGCCCGACCAGAAGGTAAGACTCCCACCGTCCTCATGTGACGGCGTCTGTCTGAGTTCTTTGTGGTCTCGTTTCTATTAGAATGGGCCGAAGTTTGATGACTTCAAAGTAATGGACAAGTCAGTGAAAGGTTGTCATCAGTCAGTTGGAGTCATTAGCAGGAAAAGAAAAACATCTGTAATTTTCAAGCCAACATTTTTCACTCTGTTTATATCGATGTCGTCGATTCAACTCCACTGCAAGGCATGCAGCAGATATTAAATCTTACAGAGCAGAGATGAATTTTATTTTTAGACAGCCAATGGATTTTTCCATCATTCTTGTTGGAGGACAACGCACTCAGAAAATCTGTATTAACCGTCAGCACAAAACATGTGAAAATGATTTTTTTCGTACCACTGTCCTCACCCTCAGTTTGTTATGAGCAGATACATATTTTGACTCATCTTGAATTTATTTGCTGTCCCGAGCCAGACTCCCAATTGTGCTGAAAAATGACACGTTGCCATTAATACCGAGTGTTTAAGACAGTATTTGACTTCTCTATCAACAAGACTGGGATCACCTGGGCTAAGTTATTGCTCCGAGGCCAAAAATATGTATCCAGGACCCGAGGTTGAACACAGACAGCAAGCTGCAGCAGCTAGTATATCATGGAAGCTGTCATCATGGCTTTCCCTGATTTGATCTTGATGCCTCCAGTGAAAGCAAAACAGAAGGCCTAATCATATATGAAGGATAACTTCATTCTTCAGGATAGCTTCATTCTGCCCGCAGGAGATATAATCATTTTTGCCTCACAACAAGGAGCTTTATTGATACCTTGTCTGCACACACAGCACAGAGAGAGATATGGGAGGTGTTTGGAGTGTGTCAGAGTCTGACTGAAAGAGGAATTATATTGTTGGGAGCATGCATTTCACCTTGAGTGGTTTTGTGAGTAGAGGAGAGGTAGAACTCCATTAAGCCCCCACTCCAGCACCCCTCCCTCCCTCCCTCCACGTCACAGGCCTTTTAAGGGCTTGTCACTTTTACAAATCAGCTCTTAGAGCTCTTAGAGCTCCTCACATTTAAATTGAAAGCTGTTGCATTATCTAACTTAATTTTAAATGTCTTGTTTAAGTCCTTACTCCCACCCCCAATGTCTCTCGTAGCATGGCTGGCATAGTAAATATGAGGCCTCATTGTTTATTTATGTGCTAACATCAATTGTAGTGAAAACTGCTGAATTATTGATGCTAAAATGCAATCTGAATATTGGCCCTGGTGCTTTAATTATAGCAGAGAGAATTATTAAATAAACAGAGACACATCGCTCAGTGGGAACAGTCTCAGGATGCTTTTGTTATCTCGGTGAGTGAAATAAGGAGAATTATCCTGCTGCTGGAGCTCTTCATCACACAAACAGTCTCATTTCTTTTGCTAAAGCAGAAGTTGGGACGGCCTCAAACAACACAGACCAACAGTAGGATAACAGCCCCCAAAATCAATACACCTCATGTATCCTGAACAGCACAACATAAATTGAGTATAGAAGCACAGGCTGGCGTAGCAGAGGAGAAAATGAAGCAGTCCCAGAAACACAGGGTTATCTACTGACCATTGTTTTGATTATGTGTGATTTTGCTGTGACATAACTGGTGTCTACGTTCATGGCATAGGATATCTGATGCTCATTTATTAAGCTTTCTTCCCAGCTTCTTCCTAATATCTTTGTTCAGAACAGACAAATTACCTCTCTCATACAGAGCTGCTTTGACCCAGGGGAGTGAGACCCTCCCAGCGTCAGTCACTTTAATTAGCCCCCAAGTAGGAGTTTGCAATTACTAATAGACTGAAGCCCTCCTAGTGATTTGAGGGATGAAGGGAAAAGTAAATCGCCCCTTAGAATCATGAAGAAAAAAAAAAAAAAAGATGAAAAAGTTGGATGCTGGTGGAACCAAGACAGATAATTGTCTTTACTCCCCTGCATTTTTCTGTTTCACCGGACTGAACACCTCCTGCAGTTATGTTCGAGCGTGGTTCTAATTATACCAAAGAGAATCGCTTCATGAATGCACTTTTAAGTTAATGCAAAGTAAATAGGACACCAGATGGTTTTCAAAGCCTGGCTGATCAATAAATTAAACACTGGTGAAGCTGGTGGAAAGTTGATTTATCAGGGTGAAACATTAATGTCATTCTGTGAACTGATGCCCTTAATGACGCCCCGAATTTCAAAAAGAAAAAATGTTTTATCTTTTTTTTTTTTTTTTTTTTTCTTTTTTATCTCTCACTATTCAGGTGTGTTAAGCGGGAGCTGTGCAGGAAGCAGGATGTGTGCCTTCATTTTAGCCCTTACTCATTGTCACCCGAGACAGCGTGGATCAGCAACACCCCAGCCTTTTAGCTGTGCTCCCAGGCCCTTTGCCCTAAAGGAATCCTCTACCCATCTTACCAGTAACCTGACTTTTATTTCTGCAACCCATACCCAACGCTCAGCCTTCAACCTTGGCTTTTCCCCAAATATGGGTGGATACTTGCACTTAACCGCACCTGAATCAGGACGCTGAGGACTCCGTGACCTTGGAATTAAAAAAAAAAAGACCAGAGACCGATCAGAATCCAAGGGGACTCTTCAGGAAGAGAAAATTAAATAACACACAAGAGGATGTTGTGACTGAAGTGAGGGAACGAGAAAAAGACTAATGAGGTTAAAGAGATGCAGGCTTTTCAACTCTGCATATTTGTTTAAAGACATTTTGGGGAAAACCGGGACCTTTTCATTTTTCCTCTCTCTCTTTTCTATCCTTATTTCCCAACAACATGGTGTTTCCACTTTCTATATTTTAAATGTTGTCAACGGGGAATGTGTTTTTTTTTTGTTTTTTTTTTTCTTTGGTGGTATATATATATATAAAAAGATGGGGTTTTAAAAAAAATCTGTGGCTTTTTGTGGAAAACAAATCATGAACACTCGGTGTATTTGTAAAACTACCATGTATGTACAGTATGCATGTAAATGTCGTTGTCCAGGCGTGGCTACAGTACATTCAACCTCTCCGCACTCAGCTCCAGTCGTCCCTCCTCCCCCTCCCTTGAAAAACCTGAACCCATGGCAAACAGAAGAAATTTGCTCATAGTCGGTAATGTAGAAATCATCATCAACATATAAATGCTGAATGAAAGAGAAATTTATTTGTGATATTTTCCGAGACATTTGCTCCAGTATGGTGTATTTAATTAATAAAAATATTGAAGATTTAAAAGCCTCTGTAAATTCATTGTGAAGCTTCAGAATCTGTGCTCGCGGTTACGGTTTTCTAAATCTGGGGTTATATTTTGTAATATTTGAATTCTAGTTGACGCACTTCTCTATAGCAATGTTGTCTTGAGACCCTTGTTTTTACCACTGAACCATTTCAGTGACATCTTTATGTCTGAATTACATAATTACTGCAGGATCCCATTAGCGGAGTGCCCGAGAATTTAGCTTTCACAAGGAAGGCGTGATCAGTGCATGACTTGCCTTAGCATTGAAAATCCTCAATTGAAGACTGCAGCGCTGCCATTCAGCTTCCAGCCCAGCAATCATCAAGGCGCATGATGAGTGTCTAACTGAAAATGGATAAACATGTATCCTCTCTTTCTTTTCAAATGACCGTTTGCTATTCATCACTCTAATACCTGACAGAAATATAGGAAAATGTCCCTTTGAAGATTCAATTACTGCAGAGAGGGAGAGAGGTGTCTCTCTTTGGCAGGCACAAATTGAATGGGCTATTTGCAGAACAAATTGGTGTTTGAAGTCCTTGCAAGACCTAATAGGTCTGAAGGAGGGACCCGGTAATGGCTGATGCGCTTATCTGCAGAGTCTGGGCCTCTCGTGAGCCCGCTGCTGTCGCTGAAACAATGCTGCTGTACAGGATAAGACTTTCATGCAAAAAACAAAAACAAAAACAAAAACAAAAAAAACAGCTCCAAGTGTAAACAGACTTTTGTGTTTTAAATCAGAATTTCAACTGCTAGAAAAAATCTCACAAAGCTGGAGAAGCTGATCTCTTGAATCCCAATGTCTCTGATATCTATGTCTCCCAAAGCATAGCCCTCCACCTTTTTATTCATAAGCGTTTAAACATGAGTCTGACGCGTAATTTTATCTTTTGTGAATGTTGGAGCACACTGGACCTGTGGTGAATTCCTACACGATCATATATTTGAGCAAAATGCACAATTTCAGTTTCATTGTTTGAGTAGGTTACATGTGCGCCTACACACAGCAGCTTCATATGTATTTATATCTGAATAGTGTAAACAGATATTTTGACGTCGTAGGAAAAGTAGGAAAAGCACCGGTGTAAATAATAAAGTTAATAATGTCTGAAAATATATTTAGCTGCCTCAGTTTCAGGCTCCTGGTATCGTGTGTGCTGGCTCATACGGTCACAATAGTCAAGTTTCCAAACAAATTCAGCGCCAATTTTAATCGAATTTCCAGATAGTTGGAAAAAGAAAACGATTAAACTGTTAAACCACTGCAGAAGAGGGAACAACAAGGTGATGCCATTAAAAACAGTCAAACCTCCATCAAATGAAAACTATGTAAGATGTGATGTTTTATCTTTTCATTTGAGGAGGCGTTACAGTGTCATTATTCTGATGTTTTCATTTTTCGTCTCTCCAGTGGAGCATAAGCTTCAGTGATGTTTAAGTCACATGCTTTATGTGTATCACGATTTATTAAGTCTGTTACCATTGAACTTTGTCACATATTGTTTATATGGATGCACGGATTTCTCTCAACTAAGCATAAAAACGTTTCTTGTGATATTTTGGGGTTTTTTTTTAAATCTCATTTCAGCCATTTTCACTCAGGTGTAAAAATAGGTGGATAGAAACAACCTGGTGTCACAGGTTATTGGGACATTCGTTAGTGTTATTAGTGACACCTGAGCTTTTCCTGCTCTGACAAGTCAAAATGTTCTGCTGTGAAAAAAGCAAATATTTTATCGATTTATTTGTTTATATTGCATCTTTCACACACAGTGCCAGTTATATTATGCTTCACAAACAGCATAATAATGATAATAATAATAATAATAATAATAAAAAACATTTAAATTAAAAATGAAACTCGTTAAACATTAAAATGAAATGGGGGCAAAAGTTCAATCACAGGCCACAATGAACAGGTCGGTTTTAGGTTGAGATTTGAACATGGTAACATTTGGACAGTGTCTGACATCAGTGGGGATGTTGCAGCAGACTAAAAAATTACAGATTTTACATGTTTTGTGAAGTTTTCTTGATGGAAAAATATAATTTGAGCTCGCACAGCAAGTGATGCTTAGATTCGTTGCACTATTTTGAAATATAATTGACTAAAGCAGAGACTTTAAAGTGGGTGTAATAAGTTCATATTTTTGTTAGAGTTCTAGTGGCTGTATTTTGATCAAGTTGTAGTTGCCAATTAGTTGTCGTTGTGGAGTTCCCTTACTCTCGCCGTTTGTTTAGATGATGAAAGGCTGGTGCTGTTACTGACTGAGATGATGGCTTAAATTTAGATCCCAGTTCAAGACAACACCCAGATTTCTGGTGTGACGCACAGTCGATACAAATGCAGAGTTAAGATGTGCAAAAGCATTGGTTCAGCACCTCAGCAACATGACACCCAACCCCAGACTTACCCTACATTTGACTGGGAAACATTAATGGTGGTAAAGTGAACTTCAGATCCTCCCTCTTGCAGCTGAATCTCACTGCAAATGCACAAAAACAATGTGGTCAGATTTATTATAAATAAATAAACAGATAAAACAATCTCGAGGGATCATTCCTACTCTTTCACGTGACATTCAAATGGAGCTTTGGCTGGAGGTTCTATGAACTACTTAAAACTGGAAATTTAGGGGAATGGCTATTGAAACATCATCAAAATATAGTCAGCGTTAATACTCAGATGACTGCAAAACGCTTCAAAACCATCATCCTCATTTAGCTTAACTGTTGCATCTGATTTAAGGAGTTTTAGGATGATTTGAGTATGAATTATGAAACATGTTACAGATGTCATCCATGGTTGATGTTTCGGAGGTGATAACCAGAGAAGCAGAACATGTGCTCCGCTTTCACTTGCTTATTAAATGACTGTCAGGCCAAAGGAGCCTCTGAGTATCAGATTTAAAAAAAAAAAAAAAAAGAATTATCCTTTAAGTTGATTTTGGGTTTGATTTTGCTTTAAAGTGACCTCAGTAATCCACATCAGAACAGCACTGTGTCGTGCTACACTAACGTTGGCCTTTTCCATTATGAAATCCGCTTGGTTCCATTAAGCTGTTTACTCACACACACACACACACACATACACACACATCCATGCACACATAAACACACACACACACAAACACACATAAATATACATAAGCTGTATACGTGTGTGCACACAGATCCAAATTGCTCACTTCAAGACTCAAATTATTAAAAAACACACATTTTACACATAATCCATATGTGAGAATTTGCTTTGATGTGGCAAACCAGAGTGAGGGCTAATGGATCTCACACACAACAATGGAGCACACTTAAATGGCATGTCTGCCTGAGGGAAATCACTTTGCTTCAACTCCAGCTCCTTCCTGCTCTCACTGGGGAGTCTGCTGATGCACCACAACTGGATTACTTATGATTAGTCACCTTGTATTTATTTGTAATTAGTTTATGTCTTCATTCTGCCGCACGCTTTTGATTATCATTTACCTCAGTGTGATTGGGAGATTTTTATGGCAGAGTAGATGCTGTGTTCTTTATGAATTTTATTTAGAAATATCAGTGTCTGCCAAACTAGTTTTCTCTCTTTTTGTTTACCGTATTAGAAATAATATACAACAACAGCTTCCAGATGTTTTATGATAATAACTTCAACTCATTTTATAGATTTTGTAGATTTAGTTATAGACAACATATGAGCGTTTATGGCTTGGTCATGCCTTTCTTTAGTTGTGTAACAGATGTCAGCACTTCCACATTCATGAACCGAACTGAAAGCCTCTACTGAATCCATCATGCTGTAGCTATAGCATCCTGCCTTCTATCACAAGCTCCTCCCATTTGAAAAACTGTTTACAAACAAAAAACAAATCTCACAGTGGAACAGCAGCTCGGCACCACAGGTGGCACTATCCTCTTAAAAAACAAAAAACAAATGATGATTTTATTATTAAATTCAAATCAGTGGTGTTTGCCATTCTGAGACACTTGTAGCACTGTAGCTATAAATTAGCTGGAACAACATCAAGGTGAAGCTAACTGCAATCACAGCCCTGCAACTGTGCTCAATACTTGGTATTTTATTTTGGTAAAAGTTTCAGAGCAAACACACCTAATGTTGTTTTGATGGTCAGATCTGAAGGAAAACACCTAGACACACATATTGCCATTTTTCCATCTACAAAGGAATCTACAAAACATTTGTAAGAAATAGCAAAAAAAAGAAAATATTGGGCTTGAGGTGCACACACACACACACACACACACACACACAGAGAGGTCTGTGAGGTGAAAATTTTTCATTTTTCATCAAAATTTGAAGCAGACAAAAAGACAAAAACAAAAAAAAGGTGATGAATGAGAGTTGGATGTAGCAGCTGGTTAGCTTAGCTTAGCATAGCCGAAAACGGCTAGCCTCTGTAATAAAAACTCCAACTACCTTCACCTCTAAAGCTCAGAAATTAACACTGTATATTTTCTTTGTTTAATCTGTTCAAAAAATGATGAAAGCATTTCCCGTCTTTGTGCTAAACTAAGCTAAGCTAAGCTAACCAGCGACAGCTAACAGTCAGAAATCAGAGTGGTGCTAATCTAACTCTGCTAGAAAGTTAATAAGGATAGATTACAAAATGTTGAAAAACTTAAAAGAGAGTAGTTGGTACATTTAACATGGCTGCCTCGTTGAGCTGTGGCTAACTTAAGCCACCTTGACAAACTTAGCTCAAAGCTAATGTAGCTGAGTTCCTCTTAGCTCTGTACTGACTCTGTACTACAAAACATACATTATTACAACATGGCAGCTTTACAAGGTGAATTCATGTCCGCTCATGTTTCCTAGTATATCTCATAAATAGCCTGTCTTGTAATTAACCATTTCCTGTATTTCCTATATGGAACTTCGTCCAAATCATCACTCAACTTTCATTTCTTCATTTGTTCCTTCATTAGTTCATCCATCCATCTGTTTTCTTGGCCAGTCTTAATCAGATTTTGCCAAAACCTGTGAAAATTATGCATCTCACCATCGCGTTCCAGCATTTCTGTAATTACACTGATTAGGTCCAAGGGGTTTTGTCTGTTCCTTTGTATCTCATAAACCATTTATCACGTTTTGACAAAACTTGGGCACATTATGCATCTTAGGCTGAACTCCATTTTTTTCGAATTTATATTGATTACAGGTCAAAATAATGATTCAAGGGTATTTTCTAAGTCAAAAGTAAAAGCCTAGTTACACACAAAGTCTAAATGTGTTTAAAAAAAAATCTTATTTCTGAAAAAGTTAACATCTGCCAAGTCTAGACCAGCATCCATAAAGTCAGTACATCTGCATGGTATTCAGCAGGCCAGGATCCAAGCTTTCAATGAAACCCGAAGCCCCTTAAAACACCATAATGGTGTGAAATGTGGTTCATAATTGTCTTGTCTCAGCCCACCGTGGAATCAGCAAACACCTTAAAATAGTTCCTTGGTTGGGGTGCTCAGTTACTTAGGAGGGTGTTCAATAACACAGAGAGGGACATGCAAATATTAGTAAGGCAATTATTGGCAGTCATGTTTGGCCTAAAGTAGCAGGTAACTCTATCCTCTCCATTATGTAGGCTATGAACTCTGGTGCAAGGAGCACTGTTAAGGCTTTGCTTTTTACTGTTAAAAGGCTTCTTACCTCCTGACGAAAAGAGGCTCA